CCATGTACCCAAATAGTATATATACTTTGGTCTTAAAGTAGTACATACTTGGGGGGACAAGGTATCTACGATTTAGTTACATGGACCCTTCGGGTAACTTCAAGGTTTGTAATTGTCAGACTAGACTAGGATGTGTTGGTGGAGGACTTGAAAAACTGGGCCAAGCAAGCTCGACCAAAGCGTCATCCCCCTACTTCTCGGAATCCTGCCTGTCCTGCCGTTGCCCGAAAGAACGAAAACCAGCCAAAGTCCAAGCCCCTGCAAAGAAAACTCTGAAGCTCCACACTTGAAACCAGCCCCAAGTACATGAAATGATTACACACCCGGAGACTCCACACCACCGCTAATAAAGGGGGTTTAGGGTTTAGGGTTTCATTTCATTGAAATGAGACTCTCAAGCCCCTGAAGCCAGCCCCTATAAACCCTAAACCCTAATTCGGACTTTCTGTTCCGCAGGGGGCTTCAGACGACGGCCTTGTCGTGGAGGAGAAGGAGGATGATCCTCGACTTCGTCGACCTTTGCGTAGCGAACCCCTTTGTTTTTAATGGGATCCTGTTTTCGAACCCCATAGCACCCTTGAAAGGGGGCCCTACTATAGAACCCCATAGTACCCATTCTTAAAAGGGACCCTATACTATAGAACCCTGTAGTACCCTTGAAAGGGGACCCTACTATAGAACCCCATAGTACCCTTGAAAGGGGACCCTACTATAGAACCCCATAGTACCCTTTGATGGGGGATCCTACTATAAAGCCCCATAGTACCCTTGAAAGGGGGCCCTACTATAGAACCCCATGGTACCCTTTAAAGGAGACCTTATTGTAGAACCCAATAGTACCCTTTAAGGGCTTGCATATGTCGCGCCCCGATTCTGATCCACATGGTAGCAGGATGTTCTCGCTTGATGTGGCTTTCGGGTCCCGGCTACACGCCAATTTGAACCCGTAAGCCGTAAGCAGTTCTATATAGCACTATTCATATAGGACTCAGGATGTAATACACTATAACTATAGACTATAACCATAACTATGATCTATAACTATGATTATGCCAGCGGAGATCCCACAAAAGTGAAATACCTTCTCTCAGCATGCCACTCGAACCAGAAAGTCAGTGTCACAGGAGAACGGGCCCCAACTAGTTGCCATCAGACCACCAATCATTAAGAGAGGCAATAGGAGAACCCTAAACTCCTAAACCCTAAGCCCGAAACACCAACTATCCTAAACCCTGAACCCAAAGGGAACAGGAGCCCACCAGGAGATCGCCAGGCGACCCCAGGAGAACAGCAGGAGACCACCAGAACACTGCCAAAAAAGCTTTCCCCAAGTATTCAGCCCCTATAGACGCTAAACCCTAAACCCTAAAGCCCTTAAGCCCCTAAGCTTATAAACCCTGAGCCCTGAGCCACAAACCCTAGACCTCAATTCTTTGGCCGTTCTATGTGGGGTTGCCGATGTTTTTGGAGCTCGATTTAGTCGTACAGCAAGTAGCCTTCAAGCTTTTTTGCCGATTCCTTTAAGGGTCCTATAATGTTCAAGAATGTTCTACGAGGGCATTGTAGGGCTTAGCTTTTAGGGACGACCTCGTAGTGGAGCAAGTTGCCCTTGACCTCTGTAACCTTTTTGGGTTGTTACAATTCCTATGCAAGACAAGTATGTCAATACAAAGACTCAGTGAGGCATGCTGCAGCTGGACCACATGGAGACCGTCCGTCACATGCACAGGCGCTTGCAAATGGTGCGTGCATTGATCAGAATGCACGGTGCCGGCTACGTCTTGATCGACGCGGCAAACAGGTCCTTCCGCATGGACCAGCTGGAAATGCAGCCGAAGTGTCCGCCATACGTGGGCGGGCAAAAGTGCGCGGCCTGCGCTTTGCGGCTCGCCGCGCCGCGCTGGGTGGCAGAGACTGTGCCAAGCAACGAGGACCAGCTGCACAGGATCTTCGAGCGCATGCTAGCTGCTAGCGTTGGCATGGAAAGCTCACCCCATGGGCCCATGCATGGATGCGCTGCATGCCTTCAGCGAAGACCTTTCCTCGTTGCTGCTCCGATTTTTGGCAGCTGTCCTACCTGCCGCCGGCTGCAGAGTCTCTCGAAGACTTGGTTGAGAGGCTCGTGCCAGCAGAACCCGTGCCACGAGCCGTGGTGCTGTGGCCTGCAGCTGCAATGCCCGAGTGGGTTCGGGGGATAGTACCAGTAGTGTACATTGTAGCTCCTTTTTGGGGATACCTTGTAAAATCCTTAATATATAATTGGTTAAACCAAAAAAGGAACCACAATTGAGACTATAGGTACAGCCCACATAAGAGGTGGTTTTTCCTTGCCTTCTGTAGGGGTTCTGATCGTAGGATCGTGCGTTGTTGCAGAGTTTATAGTTTTTTGCACCGGGCTGCTTCGAGTAGTGGTGTCAAAAGTATCAAGTCCTTCGCGATTGGACCCTTTCTTCAGAAAGTACACCCATCTAGGTGCGCTTGTAGGTGTTCCGAGCAGTCTAAGCAAGAATCTTCAAGTTTCTGGTCTCGGCCCTGTCGTCGTCTAGCTGTAGCCATGCGAAGCCTGTGTCCACCTGCAGTCACTTCGCATAGCTACACATAGAAACCCTAAACCCTAAGCCCTAAACACTAAACCCTAAAGTCCTAAACCCTATGCCCTAAACCCTAAGCCCGAAAAATATACCCTAAACCAAGAAGTCCTAAACACTAAGCCCGAAGCCTTAAACCCTAAACTCTAAACCCTGAAGCCCTAAACCCTAAGCCCGAACCCTTGAACCCTAAACCCTGAAGCCCTAAACCCAAAGCCCTAAAATCCCGGAAGCTGGTTTTGTCTGCTGCACCTAACCCTGAAGCCTGAGCTCCGAAACCCCAAATCCTGAAGTCCCAAAGCCTAAAGCCGACAAAAGCCCAATCCTGAACCGGGTTCAGGGTTCAGGGTTTAGGTTTTTTTTTGGTTTAGGGTTTAGCGTTCAGGGTTTACGGTTTTTGGTTTAGGGTTTAGGGTTTAGCGGTCAGGGCTTTGGCTTTCTTGGTTTAGGATTTAGAGTTTAGGTTTCAGGGTTTAGGGTTCAGGCATCGGGGGCTCGAAACTTGAACCTGAACCTCTGAAGCCCTAAAGCTGTTTAGGGGTTGAGGGTTTAGGGGTTGAGGGTTTAGGGTTTAGGGTTTAGGGTTTAGGGTTTACTGTGTAGGGTCCAAAGCCTGAACCTAAAAGCCTGTGCCTCAAGGATGAGGCATTCCTTGCCCGGGTGACCAAACTCCTGGAAGATCTTCCTTTGGAAACTGCGGCTGAAAGTTTAGGACTCAGGGCTCGACCGCATATGGCTAGTTCTCTAAATTGGGATCCCTTTAAAGGTCCTTTTCATAAGGGTTCCGTACTATATTGGGGACCAAAGAAACGGACCCTAATTTAGAGAACTACCCATATAGAAGCCAGAACGTTGGAACATCATTATCTTCATGCTCTTAAGGTAAAAGTATAGAGGGGTCACAACACCTAAATCCATGTTCCAAGTTTCTGGGAGTCACTACAGTGACCGTAGTCTGTAGTGTTTCATGTTTTAAGAGTAGGTTTGGTATTTACGGGTTTAGGGGTTAGGGTTCAGCGTTTCGGATTCATGGGTTCAGGGTGTCGAAGAGGATACCACAAACTCCGAAGTCCAAGAAAGGGAGACACGGTTGAGACACGTCAATATAGCCTAGTAGTTTCCTGCGAACCTTCAAGCGCAGCTCCCCCATATGTACGAAGATGAGGTGCTTTCAGGTTCAAGATGTGTTGAGAATAGAGCCTGATACTTCCGACGCAAAGGTCGAGGGTTGTGGCTGCAGGTTTCTTGCTTGGAGGCCCAGGGGACTTAGTAAATAGGTTGTAAGTAGGGTTCTGATTGGGGTAATTCCATTTAGGGTACTGTACTTACAACTCTACTTATAACGTACTTACTAGTTTAGTCCCCTGGGCCTCCAAGTCGGGTTTGGGGATGTCAACACACTACGAAGCCCAAGCTTGCAAACTATGCTAGCCTCGTTCTGCAGCCACACAGGCAATAACAACATGTGAACACGCACGCAGATGCAAGCATACCCACACCCGCCCACCACCCACGCACACACGGACAAACACATACACATCGTCACGATTTAGTATGCTGCTCCTACGGTGCATCTACACACGCGGTCCAGAACAGTTTCAAGAGCGTGGGATACTAAAAAACTACCTATAGTCTCCATTGTAGTTCCTTTTAACCAAAAAAAGGAACGGCTCTAAACTCCAACCAAGAGCACTTTAAGACGAGCAGAACCCGAGGATACGGAAGCGATGATCGAGTGCAGCTCACGGCATCAAAAGTCGATGTTGCTGGAAGCTGCCAGAGAGCAGTGCCCTCAGGTTTAGGGTTGAGTGTTCTGTTTGTGTGTTTTGGATGTTGTGCGGTGCTTGGGGTTTAGGGTTGCTTGGACGGTGCTTATACATGTATATATATATATATATATATGTATATATACATGTGTATATATATATATATATACTTGTTTAAACACACACACACATATATATATATATACATATATATATATATACCCCGGCCAGTAAGGCAACAACACCCACGCACACACACACACACACACACCCGCACACACACACACACACAAACACACACACACACACATCTCACACATCACACATCACACATCACACATCACACATCACACATCACACATCACACGCACACACACACACACACACCCCACACGCACACTCACACACAAACACACACACACACAACACACACACACACACACACCCACCGACCGCGAAGCAGAACTGGAGCATTTTCGACCCTTTGGTCTCTAACCAGAGTTGTTGTGGCTGAAAGGCAAAGACCTGACTGCTGGTGGTGATGCTGCTGGCTATCTGTGGGGCTTCACGTGTTCATGGCTTGGGTCTGTTGAGATGGTTTTGGATCACTCAGTCAGGTTCTGCATGGAAATAACAGACACCACTAAACCTTAAACCCTTACCAACGAAAAAGTCTTGACATAGAACCCTAAACCCCCAGGTACCTACTATATAGGTTACTACAGCCCCCAGGGCCCTGTATAGTAGGTACCTGCAGGGTTAGGGGAAGCCTGAATATTTAATAGTACTATTCCTTAGGGCCGCTTCTTCTCGTTGAATATAGGTCTTTTGGGGCATACTGCAGTAGACCTGCAATGAGGAACCCTGAAAACCAATCTGACTCCCAACAATTCCCTGAACCCTACACCTTGAAATTGAAGCACCAATCATAATGTTCACTCCGGTTGCGACTTCAGCTTTGGAGGTGTAGGGCTTTCGACCTGAATTGGTTTAGGGCTCAGGGGTTTAGGGTTTTGGGTTTAAGGTTTTGGAGTTTCGGGTTTAGGGGTTTCGGGTTTTGGGTTTAAGGTTTTGGAGTTTCGGGTTTAGGGGTTTCGGGTTTTGGGTTTAAGGTTTCGGAGTTTAGGGCTTAGGGGGTTTCGGGTTCAGGATCTTCCAGGCTCACAACTCACTGGAATCCAGCCCCAGGCGCGACTACTTCGCCACGGCATGGCGTTCAGGTGTTCTTGTTGCCAACGAGACGTGGCAGCAGATGCCCAAAAGGTTCAGATACTAAAATATTGAGATACCCAGGTACATAATTTCTGGGTTGGTATCCTACGTACTAAAATACTTAAAATATGTTTAGTAACCTACTACATTTCGGTAGTAACTTTTTTGTATGGTCGAAACCCTTTAATTAATACCGTGCACCGTACAACCTACTTTTTAGGTAGCTGGAGGTACCTTAAACCCCTAAACCCCCTAAACCCCTAAACCCCCTAAACCCTAAACCCTAAACCTCTAAAACCCCTAAACCCCTAAACCCCTAAACCCTAAGCCCTAAGCCCTAAACTCAACGGTGCTACGCACTTCTAAAAACCTCTAAACCCCTAAACCCTAAACCCTAAGCCCTAAACTCAACGGTGCTATGCAC